TGAGAGTGTTTGTGGGCGAATCTATATAAGAATCTGTATAAAAAACTTGAGTTTTTTGTACATTGCAAGTTCTTAATAATGCAGAAATAAATTTTGTTTAAAATATTTATGATTTTCAGATAAAGCTATGTGTTTATTTAAAAATTTGTTAAATTAAAAATATAATGAAAGTTTATATTTATGTAATATTATATTTATATTTATGTCTTTTTTCTCTCTCATTTTTGGACATTCACTTTTTTATATGTTAAAACAAAAGATGATACATGTATTCCTTTTAACATCTTCTTGTTTATGTTCCTGCTGGGGCTAAAAATTATTACCTTCAGAATTTGAAGTGTCTCACGTAATCCTTGGGGACACTGTACAGAATTTGCGAGCAAGCCATGAGGAAGTAAGGTTCAAGATACGAATTGTTTTCGATGTAAGGCATAGAAAAAGAGCGAAGAGTGAAAACCAAAAAGGAGATGTTCCGCGGAATTATATCCGTTTCGGAAAAGATGAAGAAAGGTGATGTTGTAGAAAAGAGAAAGTGCACGGTAACGTTTTTATAGAATTCGAAAGTGTCGCGCAAGATCGACAATTGCAAGCGCAACGCTCGGAAAGAATCGACGCGAAGAGACTAAGTTCCGCTGAATAGCGCGGGTTACATCGACAATATGGATGAAGAGGAATCGGAAGAAAAAGGTGGTAGTAAAGAGAGAAAAGAGAACAGGAGCGACGCGTGGCACAAAACGGGGAAAGTTTCATCGAACTCGAAGGCTGTGGAGAATCGTAAGAGAACAGAAAGAACGAAGACATACGAGGACAAGAAAAAAACATACGGTGAACAAAGAAGTTTTATGGAATCTGAGAATCCCGGAGACAAGTTGTAGGAGGAGACGAGTGAGAGAGAAAGAGAGCGTCTCTTGCGCGGAGAGGGAAACGAAACCCGATGAAAACCAGGTAACTTGTCCGGTATATTACAGGATAACTTATGAGCGGTCGAAATGCGTCGAGCGGACAAGTTTTATAAACTCAAAGTCTGGAAAGCAGATTGGAAAAGTGTCAAAATGATAGTATAGAAATGAATACTCTTGTCTTCTCGGAGTCAGAATTAGAATTACACGTAATATCATCTCATTATTATTATATTTATTTGTTAAGTGTTTTCAAGAATTTTTATTACCTATGAATTAGTAGCAAGAATTACGATTTGATATCTTAAATAATTTAATCCTCAATATATTAGATAATACAAGAGAATAGAAAATTGACATTTATTTTTGACATTCTCTACAAATTGATTTGTATTTATCTATTACTATCGGACATTGTCGTTTCGATTTCATCGAAATTCGTGTCACTAACATTTTTCAAAAATGATATCAGCGCGATGTGTATTCAGCTGACGCCGTACATTTGACGGCATACGAGGCGTATATCTTGCAGCGAGAAATGAAAGAACGCAAAAAAAAGAAAGTGGGAAAAACGAGAAGCGCGATCGACGATGTGGAAGGAAAGGACGGAAAACGTGTCGCTGGAGATGAGTAGAGGACGATAGATCGTCCGATCATCGTGCGTTCGATCTGCAGCGGCGAAATTTCATAATCTCCGACACGCGCGTGTCGTCTCCGTCGAGCAAGGGATTGAAAAACGAAGGACGACCCAATACGTGTTCAGAACGTACGGGACAGGGTAGATCGATGTCGTGCATCTCGCGGAAAGACCCTTCCTTTCTCGTCTACCTTCATACTCTCTGCCGCGGAAATCTATCATTCTCATTTTCGGTATGGTCGAACTTTTAAAGTCGAGCGAACGAGATTTTACTCACGATCCCATTTTTGTGGACTTTTAATCGAGTTTGGAGCTTACGCGCCGCTGTGTCTTGTTAAAGGGCGACTAAATATAGCAAGTTTCTCGAGGGAAGCGCACGGCGGAAAAGGATAAAAGTGCTCATCCGCGCGAAGAGAGATCATAACCATTCCACTTAGAAAACTCGTCTTCATCCTCGTCAGCTCCTTTCCGAATCACCCTCGAGTAATATTCGATACTCAATCTTATCCCCGATTGTCCTTGATTCTGTCTGATTGGACGCGCATGCATATTCCTTCATTTAATCAGGATATTACAATTTTTTAGCAAGATCAGTTACATAATTTAATATAAAATAAATTAGATTCAAAAAGTAAATAAAATTGAACTATATTACACTATTGACATAATATTAGAAAATTGGATTATATTATATTATTGACGTACTATTGAAATAATGACATATTAAAATTAATGGATGGTAACAATTCTACGTAACAATAATAATTAGTATTTAGTTGAGAGCAATAATTAAATAAATTAGATATAATTTAGAAATGTATAGCTCAAATTTCTCCATTCTCTCAAAGCATCTCGATTATATTGAGCAATGATGTGTAATAAGAAAATGGATCTTTATCTTTATTTTTACCATTTGATAATCATTCGAAATATTCTTTGTGCGCTGCCGCTTTTGCTGTGGTTTCTCTGTACGCGAATTCTTCTCTTAGAAGGTCTACGGGGTGTCTCGCTACTTTGAGAAAAAGAGGAGTTACTAAGAAAGGGTAAAAGAGGCAGGAAGGATACGGTAGGGAGGAGTTGAGGATATTACGTATCCGCTCGTATCTTTCAGCTCGATTTCTTCCGATATTCCTCTGTCTCGTGGAGGCCGCTCGGCCTCTGAATGGGTATGAAAATTATTACACCCGCAGGGCAGGCGCATTTTCCGTCGGCGATTATTTATCGACACCCGTTAGATAAAGTACTGGTCTTCGGAATTCAATGGAAATCCGAATCATTTCGCTGAAAACGCGGCCAACGTAACAACGTATGCATATTAGGAGTCGATATTTTAAAATCAATGTTTCTGCGACTAAAAAGAGCAGTTATTATCGATTTTATTTATTGTTAAAAATTTAGGGAGGAATATTTCTTTTAAAAATTTTGAGACATTTTGTTCCTACAGTGATAAAAATCTTTTCTCCCTTAAAAAAGTAAAAAGTCTACAATATTACATCTTGATTTTAAAATTAATTTTTTTTATATATTATATTTGTTTCAACAAATCATTAAAAAATTAATAAATAATATGATTATGATATGAAATGATAAGTATCTTGGTCGATAATTTTTTAAACTTGATTTTTATTATATGATAATATTTATTTGTATTTGCATATACACACACAAAATATGAAATATAAATTGCTACTATACTGTACGTTCAAATCGTCGGTCGCTGTCGAATGAATTTCTCTTGACCGGATTTACGTTTTAAAGTTTAAAGCTGAACTTGAAGTTGATTTTAGTATTGAAACGCGAATACCTATCTATCAAATTAAAATTTAACTGATTTTTCAATTTGAAATATCAAACGAATTGATGTAGTTGGATTGTCGTAGTTTGGATTAACTTTGAATATCCTGCAATTTCGAGAATAGTATAAAGAAGTAATAACGAATTTATTGAACATTAAATATAAATGTTAAAGAATTTCTTAAAGAACTTCAGTTAATTTCTCAGAGTACAAGAATCTCATATATAGAATTTCTATAGAATATTAATGAATATCAGTACATATTTAAAATATTAATAAGTATCTCTGTTCGTATTATTATTTTTATCAATATTATCTTCGACTAATATTATTTACAAAATTAGATACAGGATAATCATTTTTAATACAATCATAGTAATCATGTACAAGCTCATTTATATGATAGAAATTTTTGATTGAATAAACATTATATATAATAATAAATAAGCAATATATGCTATATCGATATATAGGAGGCTCTTGACTTTAATGCAAGTTCTTTATTACCTAACCGGATGTTTGCACAAGTCGGAAGCGATACTATCCATGACGTCGAAGTAGAACAAAGTGTAAGGGTGAAACATAAAATTGAGTTAAGTTAGTGTATAAGTTATGGATATTGGAAGAAAAATATACGTACTATATTGCTCCCTTTTTAAAATCTTCTTATATTAATAGCGTGCTTAAAAAAGTGACTGGTATTTACGAGATTAATATAACATTTTACTGGGACATTGGGGATAATTCTGTTGGTACTCATCATAAACTTACAAATTTTAAGTACTCGCTGATCAGCATGAAAATTTTAAGTATGACAAAAAAGAAGTAACAACCATCTGTAGTAAATCGAGTTCTTCCTTGATAGAGAGAATTCAACTTAAAAATATGACGCGCGAATAAAAATCCAATAGTATGTAAGAACAAGCGCGTTTCTTGATTACCACGATGGAAATGGAAATCTGGATTTCCTCAGAATGCCGGTAGAATTAGTAACGATCGCATTGGCGATAACGTCGCCACCGTTGGAGGAGAGGAATTTTAATATTACGGCTGTCAAATATCCGCGATAGTGTACGCTTAATTTATCTTGGCACGCGCTGAAAAAAAACACTGCGATTATTTCAATTTGTTCTTTTAATAAGGAATCCGAATAAAAATGCATATTAAATATAGCTGTGAATGGAATTTGATCGTATCCGTGAATATCGTTAATAAGAATAGCAATGCAAATAAACGAGGAAGTCTTACTTGTCATTTCAGTTTACGTAAACTTCGCTTTCCGATGATTTTTAATTCAAAAGTTAAATATTAAAAAGACGATAAATAAGATTGCATTTCTTGAAATTTTTCTATTAAGAAAACATTAATAATAATAAACATTAATATTTCTGTAAACATTGAGTCTGTAAAATTATCAAAGAAACTATTAACAAAATTTAATAAGATTGATACGTCTCGTATAGTATAGTAAGTAAACCTGGCAAAGCGATTCTTTGTCGGACTCTTCGAAAAGTTTTCACCGATCACCCCGGTAGCAACCGGAAATAGGTTCTCGTGCCAAACTAATGGCTTAATGTAATTATTTACTATAGCGTACGCTTGTTATAAATAAACTAGTAGAGTCGTTTTTGGACGACGCGCTAAGCTAGTCGTAGCAGCTGAAGCTCTCGCAGTTGCTCGTTGTCGAGGACTTCGTGAGTTTAAGGACGAGACAACAGAGCGCACGAGTGCGCGCGCTAATGTCCCAAGTGCAGTTATCTAAGAGTGACTTTTAGGAGAATCGGTGTCTCAAAACTATCTCACGAACATCCGTTAGGCGGAGATGCTTGAACGTAGATAGAGGAAAAGGAGATGAGGGAGAGGGGAACGAACACGAAAGTGATGTCAATGCAAGTGCGCGCGCGCGAAGAAGGCGCCAATGAATTTTCTAGGAGATTAAATGCAAGAGGAATCGCTTGCGAAATATGCATTGGCAAATGTTAAGGTTCGAAACGCAAAGAAAAACAAGGTCATTTGAAATTAACAATTTCATTTATTCAATAATATTTATCTATCCCATTATTACGTGAATATCATCGATGATACTGTTTCAAAATAAGAGAATCATATCACATTTATGCGATTAATATATATTTTAATCTCGATTTCCAACCAAATAATATTTTACAACGATGTTAAATCTCGATCTCGATAATAAATATTTTTATTTTAAATTTAACATTAAATATTACGTGAATAATACATGAAATCTGATGATGCATGATATTTGGTACGTGACAAAATAACTGCTTACATAGAGATAATTCAATATCCGCTATAAAATAAGTAAGTTTGCCATATAAATCTTTTTAATATTGCGCACGTAACGACGATAAAAATTTCATTCTCGAGAATCGAAGTATCGCGAGGTGCAGTAAGATGAATCGCGCAATGCGAAAGTATTCTTCGAGAGTCGCCACATCTTTATTTCCGATCGGCAGACGAAAGGATTATCTGGGAATTGATGGATCACCCGTTAGCGGGCGCATCCGCTGGCTGCAAATAGTCGCTTGTGGCCTCCGGAGGTAGGTCGGGAGTTGGAGGGTCGGTAACGCGGGCGGGACGGGCTATAAGGTGGTGCCTTCAGCCACGAAGAAGCGCAGTGAAGCGAACACGTGATAAGGGCCGTCCCCGACACCGCAGTTCTAACGCCGCTGGAGTAGTGTGGTCCTGAGGTGGTCGCAGGGGTTGGAAACGTCGAAGATGGGACCTTGGGTGCGAAGGGGGTAGCCGCAATTTATTCCAATATTTAGAACGAGAGTCGAAAGAATTAGCTCTCCGATGGATCCTGGCCTTTCCCAACGGTCGCACTTTTCACCCTCGCCATTTTCTTTCTTTCTCTCGCTTTCTCCTTTTCCTTCTTTCTTTTACCGTTTCCGCCCTTCTTGTCGGTCTATCGGACTTTCAACGAGTCGTTTATACCACTGCTTTACCCCTTTCAGGTCGGTGTTCATTGTGAAGTCGTTTGGGGTGAGGCTCGCCGCAGAAGGACACCGGACTTTCAGCCTTTACTACTGCAGCTGGAAGTTTTCAAAGTCGCCGAGGGAATTCTGTGAGTCAAATTACGGAAAGGGGAGTGAAGCGAGGGAGAGGGAAACAGATACCTCGCGGATATTTCAGGGGGAAATGTTTCGAATGCTATTTGCTGAAGGATCTGCTCGTTCGCGCGTAAGTAGCAATTCTCAAGCTTACGCAAAGCTCGGATAGTTTGTACATCGATCTCCGACGAGGAAAGATTTCTTTTTACGTATTTCGGATTTGCATATTGCAACACAAACGTTTACGGAACAAAATTTCTTTACTTTGTCATTCTCTCTCTTTCTTGATATTTATTTAGTATCCAATACGCGTGAAAGTATACAACGAAAATAATATTTTTATATTCGGTGAGAAAGTTAATTATATATATATATATATATATATATATATATATATATATTTAATTTACTTTTTAAATATATATATATATATTTAAAAAGTAAATTAAAAAATAAATTTGAAAATATGTTTTAAAAATAATCACTCTTATTGACTTAAATTTTGTTGATTTAAATTTTATTAATATTTAGCTATTTTATATATTTATCTGCGTGAAAACTTGCCGTTTTTCTCTTGTCGATCGGATTTCATTATCGCATAATTTCATGCGGAGAATTTGAGCGTGAAATAGTATTCGCCAAAGTTATCATGTGCGGAGGAGTAACGAGTTCCTTGGCTGATTTATCCCGAGAAACGACCTTTTGAAGCCGGACCTTGAGATACTCCGTCGCAAAACTTAGCGCGTCCGCGAAATTATTATACCTTCCTGCGAAAAGAACGAAGAAACTTACGAGAAAAAGTTTCCCGTCTTGAAAAACTCTTTAAAAGCAGCTACAGCTAGCAAATCGGCATTTCACATCAGTAGTCATCATGCAGCAGTTATTCGACTACTGTGAAAGAAAAAAGCACTTTCATTTTATCACGAGAAGATATAAAACTAAATATTTGGCAGTAAAATTAAATAATAGTACATTATTAAAATAACATAATAAAATAACGTAATTGCATATGTAAGTATGCAAATTATATTATAATATAATTATAATTTATGTTACGTACTAATATGATATAATTATAATTTATGAGTAATATAATTATAATTTATATTACTTTATATTAGATTATAATAGATTTTTAGTTTAATTGCATATCTTTTTATTTTTTGTATAGCTGCAAAAATATAAGAGTACAGACAATATACATTGAAAGAGAATATTGTTGAAATATTCTGAAAGAGGAATATTAAATTTTCCCTTAATTACTGATAGTTTATAAGAGATACTATAATCTCGTTACTAATATACCTCCCAGATATAATTAAGAAGATTGAAAATAAGATGAAGATATCATTATTGAACTTCGTCACAAAAGGAAACGTACACTGCAGGCTGAGATTCTCAACGTTCAAGTGATGTAACCTCGAGATTTAAATTTATCGTCAGTCTCCGAGAAATCCTTTCTGAGCTCCTTCTGATTTTGACAAGCTTTCGTCAAGGTTAATTCTATTCGCGTACTTCTCTCGGTGTACTGCCTCGCCGATTCCGCGAAGCTTTTTTGAAAATTACGATTTTATGCGAGCTCCCCGATTGCGTCATCCGTCGTGAAATCCTTTTATGCTCCTCAAATCTCCGCCTGGGGCTTTCTGTCGCGAGGAAGCTCGCTGAAATATCTTTTCATGGTCACCGTCATTTCGCCGTCTTCAACTGCTTCGAGGTTTTCCCACGCTATCATTTAATTCTCTCTGTGCGCGCACTCGCCTCTTTTCCGCCTAATAAACGCCGTCAGCTTCTTGACAGATTCCCGTAACTAGTGACTGCAATCCGACTTCATCTCAATCTTGCTTTTTAAACTTTCGCAATTTTCCCGATTCTTTCCCCTACGACCCGCGCGTTCAAGGTTTTCTCTCTGCGACAAACGCTTACCATTTCAAGGTTGATTATATTTTCAGCATGGCGCTAGAGACGACAATGATTCTTCAAATATACATAGGAACGCTATGCCATATCTTCGCTCCAGTAAGTCTGTTTCTGAACTAGGACGAAGGTCCACATTGTAGATTGCAATTGAGGTTTGCGGCGGGAATATATCTTGTATCAAGTTCACTCCATTTAGCATTCCAAGATAGTGCCCGAGTATAAATTGTAGTACAAGAAATTAGCACTCTACGATTAATTTTATGATAAAATAATTCCTATTCGTTATATAAATTTTATTTTCATTAGAAATGATTAAATTATGAAATATAGGGCAAATTTATGAAAACCCCTAATTACATATCGAAAAAAAACATTTAATTATGTTATGAAAAAAAATTGCAACTAATTAAAAAATAATTAAGGATTTTTTAAATATTTTAATATTTAATTTTTAGATGTGTGTAAATATTTATTTTCGTAATTATCTCGTAAATGTGCCTTGAATTGCGAGCGTGTAATTTTCAATGATACGCCGTATGTTCAGAAAGTTCGCAAAAGCGAGAGAATGATCCGCATTCTAATGTCACACTTGTCGTGGACACTTGATAATGTTACCTACAGTTCCCTAGGTAACATAAATTATAAGTTTTGCTCTGGAGACAGACGAACGACTCGAATTTACTTGTTCGATATCGCACTTGAATATAATTGGTTTTGCTCACGTGTGACTGCGTTCTTGCTCGTGTGCATTAATAGCTCGCGGATTTAAATGTCGCTGTTTGAACCGGATGGCGGAAAAAGTGCGGAAAGCTCTGATATCCATAAATTACATGCATAAGTTCGTTAGACAAGCTTAAACCCTTGTAAAAAACCGTCCAACGAAACCTAAACTCGTTCTAAAAAAGCTCACGTTAAAAGCATAGTTGGTTGCACGGATTTCATACGACATCACTTTTCGCGGGAATTTAATATAATTCTAAATTGTTTAATTAATTCTGACGGTGGAATCTGGAAAAGTTGAAATAAAATGCATGTCAAATAAATAATCCTTTTGCTACAGTTCGACGAGCCGACTGTCGAAAATTACTTTGTCGTAATTGCCTCTCATTCATTCGTTTCAAAGCCTATTTTAATACAATCCGTCCACTATTGTCAAATTGAATTGCGCCGCAAACGTTTTGACGCGTACTCCGACTCGACATCACCGCGTACTTTCGATTATTGCGAGATTTAATTAACACTGTATCGTCAATCAGTTAATTAAATGATTAAACCTCGATGTGGATGACACGACGGATTAAATGAGAGCTTGCTCGTAATATCATCTCTTGCGCGAAAATCGTAAGCTGGTTCAGCAACTGCACTTTCATATGGTAATATTTGCATTGGGACTAGGCAAACGCCATTCGCATTAGGTTAATTGCTACTCTATGTCGCAAATAATTATGCTATTATCAAGGTATCTTATATGATTAGTACAATGTATAATATTTCTATCTGCGTAGAATGAGAGATTATTATTCTGTTTATCATTTCGCGTCTTGTAAATTTTAAAGTTGTTGAACGAAATAATAATCTTGACGAAAAAAGTCAAATTTTCTCACGAAATCGTTTGGATCGCTTTATGAATTTAATTTAGACATTTATCAAAATTATGAAAGTCTTATAAATAACAAAAATTAACAATATATATTTCACATTATAGTATACATGTACATATGTATATATACATAGTTGTGTATTCTTTATAATTGATATAAATTCTTATTTATTATTGATAATTATTTATAATTGATATAAATTCTTTTTCGAAAACAATGTCAACGAGCGAACAATTTCTCGCTTGCGATGTCTTGATTTACGCGAATTTGGATTTATTTCCGCAAATCGACAAGTGGCGCGACGCATACGAAAGCTTTCGTATGCGAATATCGGCGCGTCAAATCCGCAAATAATAGATCCAGCGTGTCAGTTCGTCGATCTATAAGCCGACAAGGCCCGTTCGCTCGCGTGCGCGAAATTTTTCTCCTCGCGTGTTCCCCAATCGCGATGTCCACGATCGATCCCTGATCCTCGTCACATCGCCGACACGTCGATGTGTCCACAGAATCCGCCTACTATCTGCTCAAAATTGGCAGCCGTAACGGCCAATCCGCGGCTTGAAATTTCGCGTTACATTTATACAATAACGCATATTACACGCGTGTACACACGCATTCTTGCGTAATGCGTAATGCAGCCTCGCGAGATGATGCATATTGCGCGAATTACCATCTTGTAGTCGACGAGGGAATGTCCACAGACAATGTAATCCCATCCCAGAACAGCTAGATAAGTGGAGAAGGTGTATAGAGAGGAGAAGAGAAACCGCGCGAGTACGGTTAAGTATATTACAGAAATTGCCGCGGGTGACTGGTCCATTTGTAAATGAGATTGAGTCACCGGTTACGGTAGTCTCTCGTCGTCCCTTGGAAGATGTACTCGCTAACGGAGAGCCCGCGGCTTATGTGAAACCTGAGGAGAGATGGAGAAGAGAGAGAAGAGGTGGCACGGCAAGTAGATAGGTAACCACCGCTACGAATGAGTTCGCCGCATAACGAGTAAAAATTAGATTTACGTTTAAGACGCATAGAGAGAGAGAGAGAGAGAGAGAGAGAGAGAGAGAGAGAGAGAGAGAGAGAGAGAGAGAGAGAGAGAAAGAGGGGGAAGGGAAGGGAGGAAGAATATACCGAGAATGGGATTCACGCTGTAATTTGCCCGCCGAGAATATCGTTCTTACACGAATAAACGTATTTTGGTGATTATTAAACTTTCCACTTTCTGTCGCAAGACAATAATAAAATTTTAATAGAATGCAGTAGACGAAACACAGTGTTGATAGAAGTAATTTGCGAAACGTTACGCGTATATAATATATAAACTCAACATTCATTTTAAATATACTTTCACGTGATTTATTTTAGATTCAGGAAAATTATAATAGAAGTTTCCTTTATTAAGTATTAAACAGAAAATCAAATTCGCACAACTGTATTTAGCACAACAAATATTTTATTTGTACTATGAATAAATTGGTTGTAGATTCGTATATATATCGTTGTATTTTTAGCTTTTAGAACAAATTACCAGAACACGACCAATTTTTCTCATTGAAGTTAATAAATAAATTATACGCGTTCGCGAGCGTTCCTATTGTGCACTTTCTGTTGTATG